ATGATACCACTTTTTTGTTTGGGCAAAGATTTAGAACAGAAGTTCAGGATGATTCAGACAGAATTTGTAAAAATACAAACTTGGTTTAAACTTAACAAATTATCACTAACTTTGGACAAAACAAACTGTATGATATTCAGTAATAGAAAAAGAAYGGTCGATGCTTCTTTTATAGGTTGATTGTGTGGAGATCTGTAAAGTTAGTGAAGTAAAGTTTTTAGGTGTTATAGTTGATGAAAACCTGACCTGGAAACCTCATATAAATTACTTAAGACCAAAAATCGCAAAATCTATCGTAGTACCACATAAGGTGAAGGAGTTATTTAATGATAAAGCACTATTTATATTATACAACGCAATAATTGTTCCACATTTGATTTATTGTGTTGAAATTTGGGGTAAGGCATGTAAAACATTTACTAATTCTATTCTTATTCTGCAAAAAAGAGCTATAAGAATTATTACACAACGCATTATAGTCACCTATCTAATGTATTGTTTCATCAATTGAAATTACTAAAATTTTATGAGTTGGCTGATTATAAGATTTTGTTGATTATGTATAGGGCTCATAAAGATGTATTGCCTTTGAATATTCAATCAAATTTTGTTAAGAGGGAAAGTTGTTACAATTTGAAAGAATTTGAAATGTTTATAAAACCTAAAATTCGAACAAACTTGAAAGATAGATGTACCTTGGTTCAAGGAATAGGAATGTGGAATAACTTGGACAGCGATTACAAAAATGCTGATTCAATTCATTAATTTGGTAAAATGATAAAATTTAAATTATTGAAAAAAATACGAAGCTGATGTTTGAGGCGTTAATCAATTAATGTTTTTGTTAAATAGGGGCAGGTGTTATGAGATTCTTTACTTCTGCTTCCTTTCATTTTGAGATTGTGTTCCTTTTGTTGTTGTACTAAAATTTTTGTTTTTATATCGAAATTAATAAAACTATTAAACTATGTGGTCAATGTTTACACATGGTTAATGCTTTTATTTGTCAAAACATTTAAAGAATAATGTGCTCCCAACTGGTAAAATCATTGATTGAATTAAAAAATCTGTCAAAGTCATTGGACAGGTTGCTCATTTCTTGCTCCAAAAATGTTAAAAAAATAAAACAAATAAGTTTTGCAGTTAATTTACCTCTTAAAATATCAGTTTTATTTGTTATCTTATTAAGAGACTCAATTCATTTGTCACTCAGGCCATCAGGCTGCACAACGGCCATTTTCTGTTTTGTGTTGAGTGACTGAAGCAGCAGACAAGTTGTCAGGAAAATAATGTCTGGTCTCGTTTCTAAAACCCACCTCCACTTCCAATGCTGCCCCAGCCGGTGACCCAGGAGTTCACTCCGCTGTAGAAGGTGCTGTCTGAAGCTGCCAGGCACACAGGTGAGATGTAGGCGTTGAAGSTTACAGGTGAGGAGAGCCTCAGGAGGGCGATGTCGTTGTCGTTGGTAGCAGAGTTGTAGTTTGAGTGAACAATGATCTGAGCTACTGATCGAGAAACTTGGTTTGGATTGGACCCCTGCAGACTCCGAAGACCCAGATACACTGTCAGAGCAGATAGGCTTCCACTGGTCGTCATGAAAAGAAACAAAAACCGAACATTTTAAAACCATGTTTAGGTATACTGTGTGAAAAACACCCAGTGTGTGTGTGTGTGTGTGTGTGT